GCTATGTGCATTTTTGGTAGCAGCCTCTTATGTTGGAGGCTTTATTAACTCTTCCATCGTTACCAAAGGAACTTTTGCCTTGAACTTCTGTAGTAACAATATTATTGATGACTTTTTTTGTGATATCCCACCACTTGTGAAGCTGGCTTGTGGCAGGAAGGATAGCTTCCAGGCTGTGCTGTACTTTGTCCTGGCCTCCAACGTCATCACACCCTCTGCGCTCATACTCACTTCCTACCTCTTCATCATCGCCACCATCTTGAAGATCCACTCCACCCAGGGTCGCTTCAAAGCCTTCTCCACCTGCTCCTCCCACCTGATCTCTGTCACCTTGTACTATGGCTCCATTCTCTACATCTATGCTCATCCACGATCGAGCTATTCTTTGGACAGGGACAAAATAGTTTCTACATTTTACACCATGGTGTTTCCCATGTTGAATCCCATGATCTATAGCCTGAGGAATAAGGATGTGAAAAAGGCTCTGAATAAACTCTTCAAATAAATGAAGATTCACTCCTTTTAATGAGATGCAAAGACAATTTTTCATCAGGTAATTGTATTTCAAGAAGTGCAGCCATGATGTTCCATCATGATCAAGAATTCTCACCATGACTGTTAAAGAATTTGCACTCTTGATACCTGACCATTCAAGACACCTAAATGAGAAAATTAAGGCAATTGGGAGGATAAAATTTAAATATAATAAGAGAAGGATTTTAATTAAATTTCATGTAACTCTAGATTAGACACAAAGAACTTGAAACCAAAACCTTCCTTCTATCTTATTACAGTGAGAGAACAGCACAATCCTTTAGCATATGAAGGTTTTTGACTGGCTGATAATCATAGAATAGTATCTACATAGTTTTTCTTATGAATAGAAAAAGAATGCTGAATTAATTTTTCAGTTTTTTTCTATGAATATTAAGTAGTGGAAATCATCAGTTTCCATTCCCCTAACCAAGCTTCTTAAGCATTTTATACATAGTTTTTCCCCCAGAATCATTAACACAAAGATCTAGAGTCATCCATGAAATAATCAGTACAACTAGACTTAGCAAGCATGACCTCTTCAATCTATGTCTCTTACCCATGTTACTTGATTAAGAAAAAAATCAGTCAAGTTCCCATAGATATGATTTTTGTGAATCACTGTATAACCCACTGGGCTATTCTTTTATTTTATAGTAGTGAATCTACATGGACTTACGCTTCCAAATTGTGACTTTTTGAGTGTCAAAACACAATCATTTAAATAAATAATAATAATAACTACAGTGAGATGAAAGAACTTGAGAAACAGAAGTCTACGGGTGCACATTATTCTAAAGAGAAAAATTTTATAGGGAATATATAAAGGGAGTGATTAGGCAAGTGAGGAAATATGATGAGATGCATAAAATTTTGATTTTTAAAACTGAAACAATGTTAATGTAGTTAATTTCAATAATCCTGAATATGTCCTTATTTCTATAGATATAAGCAGTTTAAAAAACGCAAGAAAGTAAAATGTCAGCAAGTAGTTCCCCAAAATGCAGCAACTCCACTCAGAGCAGGAAAGACTAATCAGCACAGGCAGGGATACATACTAACCTGAAATTTAAATCCAACTTGTATCATCACTACTTGTCGTAACACGAAGTAACCCAACAGAAGCTGGGCCCAACAGTATAACCCTAAGATGCTTGATTTAGACAACATTCTAAGACCAAAAGCTATTTATACCAATGCAGACTCTCATTTTCTAAAAGATATCTATTACCCACTAATAATAAAAAATTTTCTATAAAATATATTCTAACTATATCATTCTATGGGGAAATGTCAGTAACAAAAAGATACGTTGGTGTAATAAACCTATTCTTGAAACATCCTAGCATTGTGAATCTTGATAGTTAACTACAATAAAGATACTCAAACTACTTCTCAAGATCTCCTATTTAAATCCTTTTAAAAGAAGTGACCAAGTCCCATTCTCCAAATACTTTTCCATATACTCAGACATGGTAAATTTCACTGACCTAAGTGTATAGCCATAATATTTTGTGTATGAAAAAGTAATCTCAACTCCAAAACCAAGTGTAAATAACGTTACCAGACCCCAGTAAGATGGTAAGATACAGATAATGATGATCCTAGGAAGACATTAAAAAAACATAAGAAAGTAATAAAACTTTAATTAAATATATGGCATTAATGTTTTAGAGAATGTTTTAGAATATGTTTAAGTGTAAATTTGGCAGTCAGTGTTTCTACTCACTGTTGGGAATGTTCCATCTGCAGCTTATGGTTGTAAAGCATTCAGAAGAATCTTCAACATTAATTTGAAATTACAGCATGTATTTTTAAGGGAATTTTATTACTCAAAATACAAATGAAGTTTAAAGTCTTAAAAGAAAGTAGTTTCTAAACTGTGTCTTTTAGATATGTGAGCTTTAATACACATTTTTGCAAGTACAAATGTTTGTGAGTGTACTTCTGCATGTAAAAATTTCCTTGGATTTACATGTGCTATTTTTAAAAAAAAATGATACTTACGGTCTTTCACAGCATGTGATGGTCAGTGGACATTTCTGGAGAGCAGGACTTTTGGTATCCCCGAAAGCACACTATATGGGGTTTTTTATTCACATTCAGTGTTGTATCTGGTTAAAAAAAAAAAAAGGAGGTGGGCAATAGGATCAATATAGCTGAAATTTACTGCAACTTCCCATTGTTATTATCACAAAACAAACCTCTCTCTCTACCTCCCTTCTTGCATGGCTCTGGTCCCTTCACACTTTCTCAGCACTTCAGTTGAATGAAAGTTACCTGGTAAGTTATCCAAATTATCTTTCTGTTAGAACTGGGTCTTTGATTGTCTTGTTTTTATTTGTTTGTGGTACCTTTCCTTTGACAGAGAAGGCTAAGAGGATGCTAGGAAATACACTGCTAAATCCCCTGGGTTCCAGCCATGATACTTCTTGATAGCATTTTACAGCCTCCAGTAAGTTTTCTCTGGTGACTGGCATCAGTAGCCCTGCCCAGCAGAGTGACCCCTATCAGTTCAATGCAGGAGGAGCCCAGCATGACCAGGGAACTTCCTGGATTCCAACTGGTCAGAGCACCTGAGGGTGTTTCGCTGGGGAAGCATTCTGCCCTTGTTCACTCATGACCTCCCCTTTGAAGGCCCTCAATCCTTTCCCATCAGACAAAGAGAGGAGTTCAACGTGATGGAGTGAGATCCCCAACCTGGCATCTTCAAGTTTTGATGAAAGCACTAATCTCAGCACTTGCCCCCAGGGACGCAATACTGCATTTTGTACACTGTCTTAGCTGAGGGGGTCTAGGGGAAGCAGTTACAGGAATTTCTACCTGAACTCCCAACAACAGTAATCCTCATTCCATGGGTCAGGGACAGGGAGCTAAAATGAGGGGTTTGCTTTATTGAATGTAGCTATACCCAACACAATGTCTGGGTCTGGGTAAAAATAATCATCTACATATCTGTTCTGACTGGGCTCAATGAGAGATGCATGCAAGCCAAAACTATCTTTAAATTATTTTTACGAGACCCACTGTCAAGTGTGTACCCCTGATGTTTTTCCATCACTGGAGATTAGTGTTAATTCAGAGTCAGTATCCAATAACCCACAGAAGATCTAGATATTTACCTTTTCCCCATGTAAGATTACTCTCATAAATGGTTGCTATCCATTCACAAGAAGCCTTGGAAGAAGATGTATACATATTGGCTAAGTTTCAAGATTCTTCCTCAAAGGGTCCATGTTTCCCCATCGGTCCAAGTTTTCAGTGGCTGTAAACTAGCTCAGTCTGGAAAATTATCAAGGAGTGGCATTTCCCTACTGGACCATCTTGAGCTAGTTTTTATCCAAGTGAAGACAGATATTTTTCCCTTACAAGAAAAATATCACCTTTGTTGTTTTCTTATCTACTTCATTCCATAAGAATCACCTAATCCATGAGACATCGCCACGAATATCTGAACAACAAAATATTTGGTTATG